ACATCAGGGTGCATCCACACAATATTAAAGGTCAAAGGGCTTTAAAGCAGTGCAATCATTTTGAAATTTTTATCATTTACTTATTATGCTTCGTTAAGTACTTATACAAAATTTTATTAAAATAAAACCATTTAAACTGGGTGTTCGGATTTATATGTCACTTAGTATATTTTGATCGCTTGACATAATATTTCCAACTTTAGTTTTATGACTTCTATTTACTAAATAATTTTGTAAAATGTGTAATACTGATCCTTTAAAGCCATAGTGATGCAATTTCATTAACAATTTTTCCCTATCTATAGTCTCAAATGTCCTTTTGAAGTCTAAAAATATTGTTACAATATACGTATTCTTTCTCATCTATACTTCTTCTACAGTCTTCCACCACCATTTGGATTGCCGTTTCTGTGGAACATTTTTTTCTAAATCCAGCTTGATTTATTATCAAAATTTTGGTTTCTTTAATGAATTCTATGATTTGTTCATATATTATCCCTTTGAACAGCTTCTCGACATCGGGCAAGACATTAATCGGTCGCATATTTGTATACAGCTGAGAATTTTGAACTTTCGGCACAGGAGTAATGGTGGAACACTTTAATTTTGATGGGAATTCACCATGTACTAAACAATGATTCACCAATAAAAATAATAATTTCTCTCCAATTATATTCAAACAATCATTTAGAATATTTTTTGAGAGATTCTCACTTGGATTTTTATTAGAGTTCAATTCCGATATAGCTTTTCTTAGATTGTTGATGTTAATTGTCCTAAATTGATTCATTGATGAATTATGACATACTTGTAATGGACATAAGTTCGACGTCAATCGTCTTCACAATTTGATTTACACTTTCTATAAAATAGGTGTTCATTCTTTCTGCTATAATTAATTTTTCTGTCACTACCCCATCTTCGAAACGCATTTCAGATAATTCAGTCTTTCTATTAGGAGAAACAATATTCTTTAATGTTTTCCACATCATTTTAGAACTATTTTTATTGCCATCGATCTTCTCATCATAGTATTTTTCCTTTTCCTTACTGAGAACTGCTACACACTCATTTCTTGATTTTGTATATTGCTTCCAATCATTTTCACTTTGGGTGATATTTGCTATGTGAGAAAATTATTACATGAAATATATCTATAAGCTGTGCCAGACGGGTTATTTGTGTGGTCATTTTTTAGGTTCAAAGTTAAGGAGCAACATTTTACCCGTTTTCTTGCGTTTTCAAAAACTTTAAGAAACATCACGGGACATTAGCACCGCAGCCGCTGTATGTGTAATTAAGCCACATCGTAGAAACATTAGGGAGTGGCGCATCACATACAAAACATTTTCGCACTGCCTCACATCTAGGCTCTGATTTGTATTTTCTACTTGACATCGTAAAATAAATTTCTATGAAATTTGAATGACTGGAAATAAAAATTAATGTGAAATGTAATTATCTATTACGATTCATAAAAAATCCTGTATGTAACCGATATAATGTTGCTTTTCAAGAGATTTATTTTGCCTTCATATATTGCAACGACTGACCATTGTTGAAGTACATTTTGCAAAATATAGGAATTTTGGAAACACAAGCGAACTTTCTGAACTATTAGAAAAATCCAGTGGATGGATCATGGATCCAATTCCCTGGTGGCATATGTAGTTTGGTCGTCTCATTGTATGTTAGTTCTTTCTTGATATGACACTCAGCATGATAGCTACCTTTGAGGTTTCGATGCGTTTTTTCTATTTTGAAGTAATATTGGAATAATATGCGTGCGGGGCAATTGATAAGGCAAAGAAGAGGAAATATATTTTTCACAGCAAAAAATTTATTTTACAAATTCTTATTAGGTATAATAAGATTACAATATACGTAATAATATATAAATTTACAAATATTCAAAATTCCAAATGTGCATTTTGTCTTTTGCTATAATAAGTACATCAGGAGTGATTCTTTTAGTTTGGGTTTTTATATTTGGTATATACAAGATATCCATCAGTTAACACAATGGTATTGTCTCAGCAATACAAATTAAAAAGACATTTATGGTATGGCGTGATCGGCCATCTTGTATATATTTCACTATCAGGTCTTTTGAAAAAAATTATATAGATGCGATTGATAGGACAGAGATTGCAGTTATTAAAGAGGTGTCCGGTAAACTGCTCAATTTCGGGTCAAGTTTCTTAACATACTGTTTTTGTACTTCCGCTGACATTTGGTACGTTAGTTTGATGTTACAATTTACGAACTTGTACGACTTCAAGCATTGATTAATGCATTCTACCTGAAGATAGACAACGGAATGCTATATTCCCGCATCAAAAAAATTATCCGAGATAAGATGAGAAACTGCAGCGTCATCGATGAGAATTTGTTACTGCTGTTCCTCTATTTACTATATATGCTTTGATAAGGTAAGTGTCACACAGCCAATTGTATGATCATAAAAGAGAGTATAGGCAGCGCCATCTATAAGACAGCAATGTTTTAAAAGTATGTATATAGTTAATACAGAAGCAGCTGTAACAGGTTCTTATAGATGACGCTAAGATATCTCATTTTGTCTCATCATTTTTCAGATAAGGGCATATAGGTTGGATATCTTCCAAAAGAATACGTTAATAAATGTTTTGAGCTTCAAGTTGTGCAGTTTAAGAAGTTCTAAGGATTCTAAAAAGATTTTGAAAAGATATCTACATATTTTGATTTTATTTTGTCCATTGTGTCAGGATCAAATACGATACGTGAGGATATTTTGCGCAATGTTGTGTTCTCTCTTTGTTTACAGTCTGTTTTTATAGTAATAGTCCAGGAAGTATCTTCACAACCGCTCTGAAAAATATTCTGATTCATTTTTTTGTTGTATAATGTTATTCAAAAAGAACCCTTTTCAACAAATCTGCATGTTGCCAAAAAAATTCCGTTTTTCACAAATTCCTAAATTTGTTTTACCTCCGAACAAAGTTTTCTCGGGTTTTTGGGTCATTCCGAATAAAAAAGGTTTCTTCTCATGTTTAAAGTTTTCGAAATATAATCGATTCAGTATTACAAAAAAATGTAATTTTCGATCCTTAATATTCGAAGTAGTTAAAGGGATATTGTTATTGTTATTCTGTTAATATATTCTTGAAGATTATTTAGAAACCTTGGTGATATTAAAATTTCTGTTTTTATATTGTTTTTCGGGGTCGAAGATCGCATATTTTGCTTTTGTTAAAAAATTAAATGGCTTATATATCGAGCAGTATCACCTTGAGAGAAAATTGTATAAAATCTATTCGTTCAGAGCGGAAAAAACAATTTTTGGAATACATTAAGAAAACTGCATAAACAACTTTTGAAATTTGCTCGAAAAACTCCTTAAACAATTTTAGATGCAATTTTGGGGTTAGCAGCGTGCATAAAAGTATTGAATCAATAAGACTCTGCAAAAAAACGAACAAAAATGTTTTTTTGAGCGAGTGGGAATATACTGCCTGGGCTATAAGGTGTTGAAAAGATAATGGAATAGAATTGTCCAGCTAATTTCGGAGATTACATATTGGAAAAAATAAGATAAAAATAAATAAGGGGCAAAAGTGGCTTGAAATCATAAATAATTGGCACTTATTCTATTCATTCAACATGAATTCATTCTAATATAAGCAATAAAAATCCTCAACTTGATTTGAATCAGACTTTATGAATTTTGTAATTTTACCTTATCACATTTTTTGCACAGTAAAGGAGTAGGACAGGGTTGGCTTGTAAACATCCATGTTGCCAACGTAACTGGAAAAATCAAATCAAATTTGTCTGATAAACAATATATTACCGCAAACTAGAAATAATATTCTCATGCCTATATTAGAATAAATTCTTAGCGAACCTTTAAACTACAAGCTAAACATATAGAATTACAGAATTATCTAATAAACAGCAAATTACATATATTGGAAGATATATAGCACAAGGAAAATACATTCAGATATTCAAAAACCTTTTAAAATTACGATTATATGCAGACCGTCCCAAAATGGTGTTTACTGAAAATTTTGCCTGGTAAACGTCTACAAAAAAAATACTGGACAAAGCCGTTTTACCTTTCAGATTTCCATATGTACGAGAGAGAGAAGCGTGTTAGAAAGAGTGCGTCATAAAATCGTCGTCACCACGTTGCCTGGCAATAGCAGTGGCGGCAGGGCGCGGAGCGCGGCTGTACGAGGTCTATAAGGCGCACTCTGCCATATGTGTTGCATGCAACACGCTCTCTCTTTCTCACACACTCTTTCCCGCTCTCTCTCTCTATTTCGCTCATACACATCGGAATATAAAAGGGAAAACGACTTTGGTCAGCACTGTATAGCTTCAAAGAGTGCTCAAAATATTCATCTATAAAAGCCAGTAGCGTAGACTTGGGAAAACTAAAGATCTCGACTTCAATTCTGACAAAACTATTTTTTATCTCGTCTGGCTCTGAAATTCGTAATTTTTAGTTTTTGCTGTATATGTTATAACAGTATATGAGACGCTCTGCATATCTTAAATACTGTATATGGTAGTTAACACTGAGATATGATGTACTATAAAAGAAAATCTTATATTCCTAGTTTCCTACTGCTTTCATATTTTCTCCTCCATTTCTTGTCGCTTGGTTTAAATTCAAACAACCATTTACACGTAAATGCTTATTGTTTATAATCTCAATACTCTTTTCGCAAGCCTCAAGGCACAAGAAATAAAAATTGGTCGAAAATGTCTACGAACAATGATATAATTTTGATTAAATTGATCTAATTTTAATGCTAAATATGGAAAGAATGATTTAGAAAAAATTGTGGGTGCCGATTACGATGAACATTGCCTAACCATAGTCTTGATTTTGATTAGATTTTCAAAATAAACCCTTATTTATTATCGAGATTACCAGCATGTCTTGTATACAGAGAAATCCACATACCATTCACGTCGTAATGCGAACGAGAGAGATGCGCGAGAAGCGTGCAATACTATGTTAGAAAGAGATACAAGCACCATGTTGCCTAGCACCTCGAGTGACGCAGCTGCTGCTTGTCATGTTGCCAACGGCGCACTGCTTCTAACAAACGTGCTGCACGCTTTTCGCGCTGCTCTCTCGTACACATTAGTCAGTGATATTTGGATTCCTCTGTATAATATTGAATTAGTTTCGATATCAACATTTACCTTAAAACGTCGTTAGATTTTTGACAACATCCGACTAAGATTCTTGTATTACAATACCTCAATTAGTTACATATAAGATTTATTGATGAGCTCAAGTAATGCTGAAGCAAAATGCAGTATTCTCATGTATGACTTAAAGCTATTTCAAACATCTTATTCATAACTTTTCTTTATATTTGTAATGCTTGTTTTCCAGAAGCTCGCAACTTCATAATTTTTCAACACACTAGCCTAAGATCGTTTGCTCCCTTATACCTTTTAGGCGTGAAAAGATGAATCAAACGTCCTCCAAGCTTAGTCAGATCACATCACCCACAATTTTCTCTTCTACAATTTGACTGACAGATATGATCTAGTCATAAAACTATCAAAATTATAAGTATCACATACATATACTTTGCCTATTGCATTTTCTCTAAAGAAAGCTAAACTCAGTTTGGATACTGCTTCAACTTAGTTTCTTTGAAAAGAAGCAGGTTCTTTGATTTTATTTCAAAAAGTAGATAAGACATTTTCGTTCGAATGTATTCGAATATGACTTTCAAAGAATCTAGGTCAAGCAACTAAGTGATAATACGAAAATAATCGGTTAAAGAAGTTAGTATAATAAGATCTACTTTTAAAGCTACACCGCTCGCCAAGTTTTGTTGTACCTTGTTTTTGTGTATAAGGATTATGTAAACATTATAATTAAGTACGTAGAGGTTCTCATCACAAAGAAAATTTGAAAAAATATATATTTGAGTGTTACAATGTATATGATCGGAACTCTTCAAATATTTTTTACGTGATCATTAAGCTAAATAGATATCATCATTGATTAACGTATTTTACCTGAAGATACCCAACCATATACTGTATGTCGACATCCAAAAGGATCTGAAAGGTACTATCGCCATCTTTGAATCACTAGAATAACACAAAAATGCAGAAATCTGCTTGGAAAGATGTTTGAGTGTTTGGTTCTGCTACTGCCTCATAGATGGCGCTAGGAGCTCTAGACCCTTTTTGATACTTATTTTAATTGGGAATTTTCAGGATACGTAAGTCAATGTCAATGTTTTATGTCCCTTTCCGAGTAATGAAAAACTCTCCTAACGGTTTTTATAGTAATTAAAAAATCTAGTTATATATTAGGACATATAAGCGTTATATGGAAGAGCTTGGAAAAGATTTAAATTAACATCATATTCATCTCATAAATAATTATGTAGCTCATATTGAACATGTGCAGAACATACAGAGAAGGAAGAACGAAAATATGCGCTTTACAAATGTTACTGTTATAGGGGAAAATCCCTCTTTATCTCTTTGTCCGATACCTTATCTCACAAGCGTTTTGTAGCATATTAAAATTTTCGGTAAGAATCTTACAAAAGCTCGGACGTAGCAAAAGTAACAGAACGGATTCGTGTTTTTCCAGGTAAGGTATTTTTGGAAAAGGTTAAGGTCGGTTCTTTCTCGATATATAAGCAGCCGCTTAGGCAGAAAGAAAAATAAAAGCCCGCTAAGGTAGACTGTCCCACAACCTCGACAACATAGGAACGCAGGAGGGGCCGCACCTGCCAGTGCTTGATGTTTGTCGTGCGACAGAGTTGAGATGCGAGGTAGAAGCCTGGCGGATCTGGCAGGCTCAACGCGCGGCGGCATTATGGAGAACAGATATGAGGAACTAGACCTGTTGACACAGTGGTAGAGCGGTAGAAGAGAGCTAGATCGCCGGCAGCCCGCCGATGCAAAAGGGTCCTGAGACTGTTCGTTAAAGAAGAGTCATAGATCAGTCAGGCAGTCCTCCTCTGGAAAGCATCGGTCATAGATATTGTCATCGGGGCGGCATCACTCCAGACATTGTACAAAGTGCGAAAGTTATGTGGAGAAAAGTTGTTCTCAGTCCTAAACAGACTCCTGAAGGTCAAACAAAGGTAATGAGTGAGACTAAACGAATTTTAGAGAAGCTTAACAGAATTATTGATGGATAAAATTCTTCCAGCGAAGATTACAATGGTGATCTTGAGTCTTCTCTAGCCACAAACTATTCACACCATTAATTGATCTTTAGAGGTGATCTAAGATTTTAAAATATATTTGAGTGTAGAATTTTTCGTTCTGTCGATTGCCGGTTTCAAAAAGTAGCCTTTCATTAAAAAAAAAAAGTTGGTCTTCAAATAAGGGTGAAGGAGAGGCTCAAAGCTAAATCCAACTCTACCATTCGACTTCCTTGTTCAAAGTTAGCTGACGACTTTTTGAAAAGTACTTTACCTGAAAAAACATAGAACCGTTCTGTTACTTTTGTTTCCTTATTTCATATTTATATTTTTAAAGGTGCTTATGACATTTTTGTGTGTTTTACATGCATACCTGACATTGACATGTTTGTATATTCAGGGACACTCTGTATACAAGGTATATCACACTTGTCCACTCATTAATCTTATGGCAGCGCATCGGAGTTTCTAAATTTTTTAACTTATCATTGTTACGTAAACTATAATGAACATATACATTTTCAATATTTGTGTTAATGTAAATCTTATTGAGCTCAAGTTTTCACTATATTATCTTAAAGCCCTACCAACTAATAAATTCTCTATATTGTTAATTCTACGTATCTATAATACGACAATTTGTGGACCCATTATGATTATAGTACTTAATTTAATATTAACCAGTAATTAATACCTTCAATATTATTGCCTAGTAATATCAATGTTCTGATTCACTATTTGCCAGTCAACAGTTATCTGTCAATTCAGCACTTGTAAAGAACCTTAGAGAGTAAACAGAAACACTGGTTAGGTACCAAAGCACATATCAACGAAGGTGCAGCACCGACCCAGTGCTGCCATTTACGCGATTTACTATTTTTACGCTTGAATTGTGTAGTATTTGTTTTAGCAAACTGTATATTTTCTTTCACCTGACAATTTGATACAGGTGATGAATACAGGTAACTGTAACGACAGGCATGTTGCACGTCTAAGAACATCTTTCACTTAGCCCCAAAATAAAACACTGCACTATTTTGGTGTATAGAATTGTTTGATAGATACAGAAAAAAGCTGATTTTCCATAGGAATTTCGTGAAAATACTTGTTGTGAGACTAAAATGTTACCAGAGTTACTTGTGTTTTATCAGAGTGTGCCAACATCCTGATTATTCAGGTGACAAAGGCAAAGTAGATGCTTTTACTGCGACGAAAAATAACAACAAAAGGTGTGAAACAACTCGAGCTCTAACGCCACAAGGCACATAAACGCTTATAACGAAAAAATTTCATCTATGACTGGTTATCGAGTGAGTCAAAAAATTCTAGGGTTGACTCCAAATGGATAGTGGCTCTAAAATTACAATCAATCGTACTGTATCACCGGTTATCCGTAGTTTTGCCAATGTCTAGCAACAAATAGGCAGTTCTTGTGGTCAATGAGCATCTGTAAACTTAAATATAGTGAACGCTTGATTTATTTCACCTCCCTATGGCGTAAAAAGCTCCTGGTTGAAAAATAATTTAATTATCAAAGGAGGAGAGTTAATAAGGCCAGTTTTTGTCCAAAATTTAATTTGGATGGAATTGTTCAAAATAAGTTCATGTTGTATCTACTGAAGAACAAGTCAATGTCACCCTGAGCGGACCACCACCACCTCTCTTAGTATCCCCCAACCAGCCCCTAAAACAGGAAAAATACCATCAATGGAAAACCAATACTTTCTTAATAAATTCTCACTTTATTTTAACTATTCTCACTCTTGTGGTCTCACCACTCAGGCCTACAGAAAACGGGTTTCTTTAATTTGCATGTGATACTATATATGGTTTCCGATGCACGTTTGTCTTCTGAACACAAATCCGTGGTCATTTCTGCTCAACCTCCCTTTCAGTCTTGAAAACCATCAGAAAATGAAGATATTTCAAGAATGATGCACATGCGATATATGATTTTGGAGTACTTTAGTCTCCGATGTACGAATCATAGTAATTTTAGCTCTATCACTCTTCCATCTGCAGGAGCAGTATTCACAAGAATGAAGACTTTTGAGGAGCGATTTTTTCTGCACATGCGGCATACGATTTCCGAAGTACCTTTGCCTACTGAATACGAATCCGTGGCCAATGTTGATCCTCTTCCTCCTTCAGTCTTCAGAAAATTGCTAGAAAAACCAAGACTCCCAAGGACAGATGCAACATATGACTTTGAACTGTTGTAGGTCCCCTATCACAATCCCGCAAACACTAAAACCCAGGACCCTAAAAACTTAGACAGGCAAAACCGACCCTTCTTCCATCTTGCTTCCAAGTTAATTTTCTTGTTGCACTACACAATGAATGTTTGAGACTTTAAATTTATTTTTCCTTAGCAAACAAACTTTCTTGAAACCTGAAACCATGAAAAATGCAGCTTTATTTCTGTTCATATCACTGTGCTTTTATCACAGTGTATTCTTTCTTCACTTCTGTTTGAAATTTTTCTGATACCTTACACATAAATGTAAACAGATCATCAACATAAAACTAAACCAATATCACAATTGTGGGTGGAGAAAATTGTGCACTTTTTTAAAACATCAGTGTGCGCAGACCGTTTCATGATGAATTTTTCTGAAATGATACCAAAACGGCTACTCTTCAGGATATACTTTGAGATGTGAGAAGAAAATATTTTTGAAGTTTTATCCTTCCAACGAATTTAGTATTCACTGAAGTAGACATAGGTCAGAAGACAACAATCTCTGGCCATGAGTCACCTGTCTGAAATCTTTGCTAAATTGCTGAAAATCCATCATGAAAGGTACATAATTATTTTTAATTCAACTAAATAACCGAAATAAAACACTTTTTTAAAGTACATGCAAATTTTCGCAACTTTTTGACTTGGAATCTCTAGCCCAGACTTTTCCCAGGAGATTTCTGACTTTGAGACTGGCGGATGTTCTGCTTCCTCTGTACTTTTTGGGCGAGTTTTGAACGCTGCCTGTTGGAGTGGCAGTGCCTGAAGCAGGACTTTTGTTCCTGTTCAGGTTCTTCTTTGATGAACTTCGTTTTCTGAACAAGTCCCTGCAAACATCATACATAAAATATCTGATGTTGGATCGGTTGGCGATGCAACTATGACTACTTGCTTTTAATTGTACCCTGAAGATGATAACATAGTGGGAAAATAAATTGTTTGATAAATTAGATTAACTACAAATATGTTGAAAAAGTATCATCAACCAATCACTGAACAGGGGAAGCGCCATCATTATGGTAAAAGGCAGTCATAACACCACTTGCAAAAGTCAACAATGCCATTGATTTTAAGGACCTCAGACCAATAAGTGCTTTATCTTCAATGTCCCAACTGTTAGAGAAAACTGCAGATACTTCGTGAGCATTCAGAACTCGAAAAAGTGTTACCTGATACCCAGTCTGGGTTTAGGAAATTACATAATACATCTAACAAACCTTTCTTTTTTAAATCGGTCCTTTTTAGGGCCACAGCTTAATAAAAGTAATAAAAAGAAATTCCAGAAAAATTAGTTTGAACAAATTAAGGGACTCCCGTATAAAACTTTCTTTGGCCTAAGTTTTACGAACAAGATATAGAGATGCGGTTTTCGCGAGCTTGTTTAGACATTATTTATCTACTTTTCCATAAAAAAAAAAACATACCAGCATTCAATTTTTTTGAGAAAATTAATCATTTCGGTCTGAATGTCATAAAAAGCCCTCTAGCGGTCACATATCAAACTAACAAAGCTTCAAATATTATCACATTTGTAGCGCAAGCCCAAGTTTGTTCAAATCGGCGCATCCGTTTCGAAGATGCAGGGTGTTTTTTAAGGAAAACCTTTGAGTACACTGTTACCACTTTATTTTTAGAGACACGGCAAAAATTGTCAAAGAAAAAAGTTCACATTATCCTCGAATTCAAAGATCAGTTTTTTTTGTTAAGTTAATATAGTGGAATTCACAGAAACATCACTTTTTTAGATTCATGATTGCATCTACGCGGCCATTTTAGAAACTTGAAAATATTTTACAGGCTTTTCTCGTGGCCGTTTTACTCAGAACTTTTTTGCCCGAATTCTTTACGATGGATAGGTTCCCAGATACAGTACCTCGCATTCTTAGTTGGCCACCTCGTATAGAGAAAATTATGATAGGTGCGTAGAATTACAAATGTTCTAAGCGTATAAATGTACTAATATACCATCATCAAAAAATCATCCCCTTACAATCCCCATTCTAAAATTTTTTTCTAAAATAATCAGGATCCGCTGAAACCTCAAAAGGTTTGAGCGATTTTCATTTGTTTTGGCCACCCAGTACATTGTCTTCGAAAGGGAAAGACATTCTATTTCAGATAATTGATTTTACTAGCTCATCTCCTATTATGACTTAATTCCATCCCTTTGCTTCATCCTCTGTTGAAATATCCTCCATTCCCTCGGGCACAGCATCGCCCTTTTGTTCATCTGAAGAATGCTTTAACCGGGTCACTCGGCGTCAGGCCCGGATCGCTGCCTATATCCATCGAATCCCTTTATCGGATTTAGGCTCGACGTATCTTTCCCATACCAGCCTAAGCCGGGGACATTAAATATTCCTTACCACTAATGGAAGCTATTCCCGATGTCGTTGAAAAAATGTAAGGAGAGGAGCTTTATCATCATTGAGCTACCAGTCTCCAGGATTCTTAGCTCAATATCTGAATAGACGATTTACCCCAAATGTATGCGGAACATAAAAAAAAACACAAGCCAAAGCATATTGCAGTGATAAACCATAGCAATTACAGGTAAAAGAATATACAAACTATATTTACCACATGGGTTAAGTTGAAAAACGTTTTTTAGCGACACTTCGCCTTTTTATACTTTGTATAAATAAAGCCGGATCATTATTATTATTATTAAATATTCAAAATCTAAAAAAGATGTGGTTTTACATTACTTGATGACGGTGAAGTCGGTAATGCTGTGTTTAAATGAAACACATCTGACAGAGGATATTGACGATGAAGAAATTGGTTTTGAAGGCTATCAAATTGTAAGAGGAAACCCAATTTCCAGACATACAGGTCGTATATTATTATATATTTCATGTGAAACAGAAACTAGAGTACATGAAATTGTAGCTGTTGAGTACCAATGGTGGTATATCAATGTTAAATGTAATCTTAAGCACAATTATAATTTACACATTTACTACAGATCTCCAACTGGAAATACAGGGACTTCGAAGTTGAGTCATTTATTTTAACAGTGAGTAGATCTGATCAAAAGAAATGTTTTTCCTTTAACATTTTTGTGGTAAAATCAAAGTAACAAAGTTATAGTCCTTTAGAAGTTTGAGTACCGCCCTGTCTCAATAATAATATTATGTGCTCGTGTTTGGCAACAACGGATATAATCCGCCTTATTGGTTCATCGCATCGGAAACAAAAAAAGCGAAAGAATTTGAAACGCTTATCACGATGTTTTTACTACAATTTTATTCAGTTGTATTCAGTCAATGTGTCAGTCGGTAACGCGTGAGTGAATAGTGGTGTTTGTTGCGTGGCTCAAACGAATTAAAAAATGGCACATGTTTACGAAAATGCTGAACTTGTGGACATGATTCTTATTTACGGGAGGGGGGAGTCTTTACATGCCGCGGCATCACGGATTTATGCGGATCGGTTTCCCAATCGAGTGCAACCAACCCCTCATGCCTTTGTTAATGTAGTACAAAGGGCTCGTGAATCAGGTGACTTAAGACCTCACAGGGGAGGGCATGCCGGTGTTCCAAGACCGCACGATCAAATACAGGTCCGCACTGAAATACTTGTCGGGAGGATACTTTATAAAACAAGGTAACATTTTTTTTTATTTTTACACACATATTTTGGTGTATCTTCCTTCTACAATCATTATCTGAAAATTAATGACTCAACTTCAAACCCTGTATAAAAACTGCATCACGGTACATTTGGGCGATTTTAATATAAATTTTGATAATGAAGACTTCTACGCAAAGACATTTAAACAGGTACTCAGTTTTTATGTACTATGGCAAAAAGTCTATGATCACAACAGAATTACAAATCAATCAAGAACAATAATTATAGATTTTATAATAACGAACGAACAAAATTTTATTGCAAAAGTTATGCATACTCCTAAGATCTGTGATCATTCATGGATATGTTTCGAAGTTGAAAGTAAATTTGATGCTAACAAAGTGGAAAAAATTAGTAATAACAAATATGTAAAATTACGAGAAGCTCTTTTACTGCAAGGTATGACTGAAGCGTTTGTTGATGGTGATAGCTACTATATAAACCTATTGGATATTGTTGAAGTTTGCATAAAAGAAGCTACAGTCAAGACAACAATTTATAAAAGGAAAAATCCAACACCTTGGTTATTGCAGAAGTTCAAGGATTCTGAATTAAAAGAGACTACAATTATAAAAAGCTTATGATTACTGGAAGTAAAAATGATTGGCTAGAATACACAAGATCAAGAAACCAATCTGTAGCAGTTCTACAAAATGAAAAGAAAAAATATTACAATGCCAAAATTGATCAAAGTAAAAATAATAGCAAACGTATGTGGAAAACGTTGAAAGACATTGTATTTTCTATTAGAAAAAGTACATTATCTAAAATGAAATTCGACGATGGGGTAATAACAAATGAAGAAATAATAGCAGATGGAATGAATACCTATTTCATAGAAAGTGTCAACGACATTGTAAAATCAATTATTGACGGGGATCCCAACCAATGTCCCATTATCGTAGATTATAATGCGTCATTCAGAGAGTTTAGAACAATAAACATTAATCGTCTCACGAAGATTATATCAAAATTAAATCAAATCAAAATAAGAGTGAGATTTTGTCTAAAAGTGTGCTTAATGAATGTTTTGATATCATTGGAGCAAGATTATTAATCCTGATAAATTACTGTTTAAAATATGGCGAATTTCGAACAAAACTGAAGTGTTCTACCATAACACCTGTTTCTAAAGTTAAGAATTCTGAGTTGTACACCAATATGCGGCCAATAAATGTTCTGCCAGATGTTGAAAAAGTTTTTGAAGAAATTATTTACGAACAGGTCATCGAATTTATTGAGGGAAATAACACTTTAACCAAATTTCAAGCTGGATTCAGGAAGAAACACTCAATAGAAACGGCAACACAAATGGTTTTAGAGGACTGGAGGAGATGAATGGACAATCGGAAATATACAGTAACAGTGTTTTTGGACTTCAAAAGGGCGTTTGAGGCTATTGACAGGGATACATTACTTACAAAATTGCATCACTACGGATTTAAAGGATCTGTATTCAAAATTCTACAAAACTATTTAATTGACCGAAGTCAAAAAACCAAAATTGGATCTACTTTTTCAAGATCAAAAAATATTTCTGTTGGTATACCACAAGGTAGTAAACTAGTACCACTACTATTTATTTTATACATTAATGACATTTGTAATATTTTCGATTATTGTAAACTTCAGATATGTGCAGATGATACATTAATATACATATCCGATGAAAATATAGACACTGCTTTAAAAATGCTAAATTTTGACTCGGCACAAATCGTAAATTGGTTAAATGTAAATAAACTAAAATTGAATACTTCTAAAACAAAATGTATGCTGATAGGGAAATACCTGAATGAAAATACTATCACAGTTACGATAAATGGAGAAATAATTGAAAATGCTGAATCAATTAAATATTCGAGTTTGAGGATCACTATGAATACATTATTTCAAATATTGCCAAAAAAACAAATTACTTATATAGAGCTTCTCATAGTCTTGGTACCTATTCCAAGAAAATAGTTTATAATACAATTATTCTACCGCATTTACTATATTGCTCAACTATCCTGTTCCCTGCCAACGAAGCTGTATTCTCAAAATTACATATCTTGCACAATAGAGCTATGAGTATAATATTGAATAAAAATAAGTACACCAAAATAAAATGTACAGGTATGTTACAAGAATTGCAGTGGTTGAATATAAAAAATTTCATATCATATTTGGTTCTTACCTTTATATTTGAAATAAAAAATCATCTTTTGCCAGAACATTCAGAACACTACATAGAATTGAATAATCATTAACACAATTATTATACAACAGGAAATATAGATTTTCATTTACAAAATTGCAATAGTAATGTAACTAGCAGATCAATATTTCAGAAAGGATTACTTGAATTTAATAAACTAAATAATGATATAAGGTCTACTTGTAATTTAAAGATATTTAAAAGAAAATTAAAATAATATTTCATGGACAATGAAAATTCTCAGAGATGCAAATTTTGTTTTTTTTTCTGAATGTCTGAATGTTATGTAATTGTTTAGTTTTTTAGAAGAATGTGATTGTAGCAATCATGCTAAATAAATCTTAAACAATCAAACAAAATAATGTAATATTTTTTTATTAAATTCAATCTTCAGCTGCATTGAATGTTTTTAAGTAGAATTATTTTTTGCAAACACCACTGGCTGTTCTTTCGCTGAACATAAAGGCTGACTTAATGAAGTGCAAATACGGACAGATGTTAAGTATAGTATGGATCATATTTCAAATGTACTTTGAAATGAAACTAGTGATATGTAAGGCTGGATGCTTTCGCGTACCGACTATGACAGCTACAGAGGTCTACATCTCGTCCAACCGTGTTTTTTAACACCCGTCAAAGTTAGCGAGACACATATCGGGCGTTAAGAAAACTGGTTTTGTGAGTGGTAAAACTCTGTAGTTGCATTGATTAACGTATTATATGTGAAGATAGTCAACCATAGATTGTGCTCGAGTGTCCAAAAAGAGATCTGAAAGATTCTAGAGCCATCTATGAGACGATAACAGAACACAACAATGGACTTAGACATCCGCTTTAGAAAGAGTTAATAGTGCTCCCCCAATAAACATTTTAACTTATAATTACGTTACTTCGCCCATAAAAAAGGTTAAAAAGATTGTATGACCAATTTAACAAGGTTATATTTATTTCCAAGTGTTTGCCTTTTTCCCAAAACGAGGAATAAAACCAAAGTAATTTAGAGGTCAATATTAATTAGATCGATGAGGGATTTATTACTAATAGGTCGAAGGATATAAACAACTACTCGGGTCATCTTGTGGTGAAATCGTAGTAATTTTGCCGTATAAAATCACATGAGTCTCTGACCTAAATTTAAGAATAAAGGAAAGATACTTTGTCGCTCTCTCTATCTTGCTCATATATACAGTTGGTAATCTATTGGTCAAAAATAAGATTGACTGCTGATGTACTTGTCTATATGTAACTAAGAATGTTAAAGATATGGCTTCCATTTGTGGAAGTGATCATAACAGAAGGATTTCGAAATTAGATTTTCCATCAAAAGTGAACGAGAAATCTGTGCGCAGGTATTTTTTTCGTCAAATATGGCCACAATAGTTACTCAAAATTCATTTCCCTTAGAAATAAGCTCAGCTGAAGAATCTTGTTAATAGTTTTAACGAGAACAACATAACCTCAAGTTATAGGACGCTTTGGTTTAATGCGCGAAGTTGTTAGTTAAACTCAAAATAATGTGTTTATGTCCATGTTTTAATATCAACTATGGCCATTTTCAGAATTTCGACGTGCAGTTTGATGTAACATAAATAGGCGGTATTTATTAGTTTGCCGTAGCTGGCAAGATGTGTATGAATTATACCTACTACAATCCCACTTCGTCTAATCCAAACAGAGAGAGCGAGAGACAAAGGGAGAGAGATGGAAGTATCGGGGTCCGTAGCATTTGGCGTTTGACTTTGATAGTTCTGTGGTTCATATGCTATTTTACCGTGTAGTTTTTTAAAACCCCGTATTCAACTTGTTCCAAGCAAAAAAGAGTCAACAATACGCATGCGCGCCTGAAGAATGGTAATAGCATTTTGAGGTGTGCCTATAAACCTTAGTCGCTTAGTCTTTTCCAGTTCAAATTTTCAGACAGTTCTTGAAAGTGAAAATCTTTCTTTCAAAGTTAGTGTTAATGTTGAAATCAAGACGAATATTTACTAAAAGCATCCTTGCAACTTCAAGGTGCACGAAGTAGACAAATCGACTTGTCTTTTACTAATCTATGTTGCAAATTTACAAGGAATTTTTATTGGTCATAATAAAATAATTTTTACTTACCAATATGCCCAAAAAGAACCTAACTAAGGGCATATTTTAGGTAAGTATTAGGTAAGCTATAACCTCTGAATTTGTCTAAAAGCTCAAGAACTCTTCAAGTACTTCTTAGAGGTGCGTTTTTTTGTTGTTTTGAACCAATCAATTTAACCTCTTGATCAAAGGTCTATTAGGGTCCTAATTTCGTATGTAGTTACCAATTTTTGAGAAAGGATTCAACTCTCAAGACAACTAACTTTTGAGGACAGCATTTAAGGATATGATTTCTAAAATTTGACAAATGTAGGTAACTTTCTCTTGGGTGGTAGCCCATTTTAACAAAAGGCTAGTTGGGCCTGTCTCATAGATATTAATAATGAATATTTTGAAGCCAGATGGCTACTCTTACATCCAACTCTATTTTTTTGAGGAAATATGTACATATAGTATAAAATAAGATATATATACAAACTTTAAAATAAATAAACCAATTCGATGTTCAACTGAGTGAACTAATGAAAAAGAAAAAACAGATATTCAATCGGCAAACCCACCTTCTGTTGGCTTACCAAAAAGCAACAAGATGAGAACCAATAAGGATTAGACGAAAATACAAAAAAGCAAAAGAAATATCATGGCAGCTAATCCCGACAGATCTAAAAGCTGATATTTAACCAGCTTCCGACAGTTACAACAATTTTACTTCTTCAGGCAAGGTCGGTTGAGTTGTATAGCCTCACGTCATTGAAAATAAAACAATACAGTGTAGTGCAAAAACATTGTAAGGCTATTAATTTAAGATTGATGATAGGATAACCTCCTGTGGTCGATAGTTCCCCATGTTTGTCTGGCCACATCTAGGCACACCACAAAATACTTCTTTACTACGCAATTACACGGAAAAAGGTCACCATTGCGTCCGAAACGTATGCAATAAAAAAGCAATTTGAACTCATGTGGTTTGATTGGAAAGGCAAACATGAGAGATTAGTGCCAGGATCTTGAATTCCCATTTGCGCCTCTCTAATGCTTATCTTGATTGGGTGTATTCTGGTGAAACACGTTAGTCAATGTCTGATATCCAATTGAAGCAGGCATTAGAGATGCGCCAAAAAGTGATTAAAGATCCTAGCGCGCTCTATGAGACCATAGCAAAACCAAATAGCAACTCTTTCGTTTTGGTGTTCTGCTAAAGTTTGATAGATGGCGCTAGTATCGTTCAGATCTCTTTTTTGGTTACCGGAATACAGTAAATATTTGGCTATTTTCAGGTAGATAAGACTTACCTGGTCCTTTCTGGGTTTTCAAGCTTCAACCTTATCTGCGTCAATATCCCAACTAGCAGTTCATCCACATTGTGATTGATCCCCACTGAGGTCTCTATGTACTTGCAATCGTAAGATGTGGCCATCGACTTACCCTCTGAAAGCAAAAAATATATTTCAATGTTTTATTTCCATGTTAATTTATCCGCCATTAAAAACATACTTCACAACCGCTGGAAGGAGTAAATAAAGTCCCCGTATTGGTTGGGATCTAGTGCTGCGTCCTGCGGTCTGATCTAGAGCTGGCACTATCCCAAGTAACGATACCGCTGTAGGAATTGAAGAAATCGATTCCTACGGTCCCAAAGGAATCGATTCCGGGGGTTTAGATACCGATTTCGATTCCAATGGCGGTGGTTTCGAGTCTGATTCCAGTGGTTTCAATTCCGATTCCAGTGGTGTCATTCTGATTTTTCTATGGTTTCCATTCCGGTGGTTTTAAATCCAACCGAGTCGGATCGGACTTGGACAAAGAATTTATACAAGATTCTTCAACAGTAGATTTTTGGCTAAATTATACGAAGTTAAGAATCATTTACAATAGATGTATTGTCATCGTTATAGCAAGAGTGAAACACAAAATATTGACGGTACATACATTACACTATATTCATGTTGAAACTATTTAGGCTATATTTTGGAGTAAAAAGATTAAAAATAGAAGTGGTCGAAGTTATCCAAATTTTGGTACAAGATGTTTACTTCCGGTTTTTCATCTTTTTAGTTTTAAATAATACATAAACTTTCCTATATAAAACGCAGTGTTCAATATCCCAATACTATACTCTTTAATTTCAAAAAATGCTCAGAAGACATCCCAATTTCAATTGCAGATATTCTTTTTGTTGTTAGTATATTTAGACGCTCTCAACCTCGGTAATTTTTTGCACCTGTTAGACATGTTTGACACATTCGCCCTTAAAATAGTATGATGATGAAATTTTCGATATACGCCTGCTTCTGCTTCCGATCTTGGTAAGTATATGACCAGCTTTGGCCCCTACACAGCTTAAGTCGGCTCTGCTCTCACACTATTTTTCATAAACGCGTTGTACTGTAAGTAAACATGAAAAATAATTCTGGGAAAATTCAGAACACCTGCCATGAACGCCACTAGCGAAAAATAAGCAGCACAATGACAAAGTGCAACCTTCAAACGCAAAGATTGGTAGCAAATTGCTTTCTCTCCGTCTTTTGTTTCCAACTTCCAAGGCCTGTTCTTTCTTTTTAGCATTCAGCGCGAAAGGGGACTCCATCGATCTATTTCTCGCAGTCGGGATCTGCACTAAGACCGTTTTCCATTTCTAAAAGCGACCGAAAGGGTGTCGGCAAAGCCTTGAGCTTACAGATTGAGAGAAGTGAAGCCACACGCGGAGAAACCTTGCATGATTAGCCCTCTTAAGCAGTACCGTAAATCTTCCCAGGAAGTGAGCATTTTTCAATGAGTGACAGTCTCGGAAAAGCGGTCGCTCCTCCGGAAGGTGGGCGGATCCATGGAGAGAGAAGGTCATCAAATATATGCTCAAGGAGATTATAGGTACCTGAACGTCGAGACCTTGACTATTCCTGACATTGCTAATGACTATAGACAAGCATGTATTGTTATTTCATCATATCTGGAATCCGTTTTTTATACAGGAGCTCAGGTCAAGGTGTAATTCACTAAGAAGATCCATCCAAAACTTATCTTCGATTCATGAGTGTACCAGGGTCAAAAACGCGATATCACAGAAATGTGATGTGTAGTTTTACTTCTAACTTCCAGAACATAATCAATTTGGAGGCAAGAAAGTGAAACTTCGGAGCTTCGTTAAATGTGTTACGGAATTGCAGGAAATATTTACAAATAACTTGGCTTAGCTTGCTTGTGTAGACAACGTAGGAAAGCGACTGAAGACTGAAGTCTTGAGCGTCAGTTTCACTCACCCTTGTTAACAGTTTTCTGCTGGTCATTTCCTTTCAATTCATACACAAATCCGCATTTATTTTCACTACAAATATGTCAGGTATAGTAGCTACTAGGAAAAGTAAAGCAGATCCTCAATTAGAACATTAAATCATCTATAGATTTATCGAAATAAGGCAGAATAAAGCGCTATCTGTTACCAGAATCCAACACTGCAAAAGTGATAACAATTCGCAGTGGTCGATTCTGGTGACTCATTTAGATAGGCTTTATACTATGGATAGAGGACAGTTGTTCAGCTTTCGTTCACTGTTCTACCTGAAGTACCCACACCTGAGGGGTTGTCAAATATTGCGAAACAGCAGTGGTATCCATGCCATAGCATTTGTAGTTTGCAGAGGTCTCATTTCATTTCTTTCACGTTATTTTTTATTCATACCATTTTCAGTTTTTCACCTAACTACAGATACAAGAAATAAAAAAAAAATTGGTCTTTACTTAACTTAGCGCCCTTACATTCATTTTTAAACTTGGGACCATACAGCACATTCCAAATTTTGAAAAGATCGGCACAGTGGTTACTGAGGTTACGTAGTGGCAAAGAAGGCAGTACGACAGATGAATCATCACTAGTCAACTACTATTCAATTCGCAATTTTTTAAGCAACATTGTCCATGTCGCCAGAACATCAATGACTCGAATCGACCTGTAAAAATACAATTACTCGATGCCATTCCATACAATTTTCGACAACCTATTCCGTACGTGCGTCAAAGTACTACCCTGTATAAAACAATAAAAAAGTGGGGGCCTCTGTCATTTACGAGCCTCTTCAAGTAAGGCACCTAAAAAAAGTATGATTTCGTAGAAAAATATAGGCATCGTTAGATGTCATAAGATCAAAGGCTTTTTCGCAGTTTCTACTGGTAACTGTGTATTTTTGACCAATCGTACTTTCCTCGTCCCTTCCTCGGGAGCGCTACCGATTCTGCTTTATAATTTTAACTAGCTGCATTTGCACCTAGTTATGAAATATTGGCCCAACACCAATTTTTCCTTTATCTTTTCTACTTTCTGTCATACCAAACTACCCACTTAACTAAGTAGTTAGGCAGTCTACCCAGGTTACTTATCAGTTTCATTCTTTCATGTTTGCTCACTAGGATCGTTGTGAGCATCCATCTATGGAGGTATGACTCAACTACACGCATTGTTGGTTGCATATGTTTTGTGAAGCCGAGTAGTCTGTAGTTTTCATCTCTGTTGGTTGAACAGCAAAATCGCATTTTGATGATTATGTGTATTGATCTGTATGTGCATAAAATCAGTGATATTTGCTGTGTGAGAAAGTTATTACTGAATATGCTGCCAATAAAGTAAATCTATTAGCTGCCCTACGGGTTATCTATATGTTGTCCTTTCTGAAGACAGGTTATGTTCAAAGTTATCAATTACGATTTTTCCGGGTTTTTATGTTTTCAAAAACTTTGAGGAGCACTACGAGAAATCGCCACCGCGCTAGCGTAGGGTGCAATTAAGACACATCACAGAAAAATTAGTATTGACACATCACATAGCAAACATTTTCGCAATGCCTCACATCTAGGCGCTGATTTGTATTTTCTATTGACATCGCAAAATAAGTTTCTACTAAATTTATATGCCTGGAAATAGAAGCTAATGTAATATAGCCTTTTCACTTTCATAAATATTCCTGTCTGTAGCATATTTTCTCGCCTGTTCCTTCACCAACCAGGGATTTTTTCTTATCTCTCTGTTTTGAAATTCACCAGATTTGTATATGTAACTTCTAGAATAAATAAGAAAAAATGAATGAGCATCTAATTTCTGGTTTTGAATCTCAAGTAAGTGTATTTGAGGCAGGAATCCAATGGAATTCACATATTATTAGCACACAAATCCTCACTATGCACCTATGCATTGCCGTTTCCTTTTAGCTATAGTATACAACTTTAAGTGTAGACATCCAGTAATATCAGCTCTGAAGCAGATTTTACATCACATCAGAGCCAAACATTGACAACTAAAGCATCATGACATTTAGGCAACACGTACAACAAAACAAGCTCACAACAAGTGTCCATCCGCTAATCCTACATAATGTCACAAAAAAACATTATAATGTCAAAAACATTGACTTAATGTCACTTTTCAAGATGTTTAATATCCGTACCGGCCAGTCGGCAGTCGACCGTAATAGTGATGCGTCGCGACATCTCTGTGCAGAACGCTGAACGTCGAGAGGTTTTGAGACAGACGACGAAGGGGTCTCCCTGTCGTATTCATCGTATAGGATGAGGATGAACATCAGTTTGGAAATATATTGGTGGGTGGTGATGGTCAGATTTATCACCTAGTCGCGCACAATACAACCACTATTACATAGCTGGGACATCGTAAGAATTGTAAATGGCAGACGTTACATAGTGCCGCCTGGTAACAATACCTTAATCAGTGGCGTTAACGGTTCAAATGCTCTTTCTCAAGTCGGTGGATAGGGAGTGAAGTTAAAGGTCGAATTCTTTCAAGGAGGCACCATCAAGTTAGTGTTGTCATTTATGGTACTTGCGATGATAGGCTGTGCAATACTAATGGAACTGTATTCGTTAATGAACCTTTTATTATTCAAAGATACCTAACCAACCTAGGCCAATTCTACTACCAAAATGGAAGGAAGTAGCATAGCACATCGTACGCCAGTGCGAACGCGGCGTAAAACTTTGTATCGGTTCGCGCGGATCTCGCCGTATACAAAGAGACAGTACGTCGGTATTGACGTACGATGTGTTATGTGTCTCTTCCGTTTTGATATCCGATTATTTATCGTCTTACCGTTGAGTGACCCTACTATTCTTGAATCTGTATACAATAGCTGACGCTAAGCGGAGTATTTATGGTTCAGCTGAAATGGTGTTATTCCGTTTCAGACGTTTTGCTAAATAGGCTCCAATAGAAAGATGGAGATAAGTAGATTGACAGCTTTACGGAAGTATTGGATTTTTAAAGGCAGAGGTTTTCCAACTACGGCTTGGCTGTTCACCAATAGCGGATGTACGCTTGGATGCTTCTATTTAGCACAGTACTAGATCCTTAGGAGCTTTTCTGACTTAATGCGATCACAGACTGTTATAGACCCTGGGTATTTCTACAGAAAATCACCCAATCAGTT